AGAATTTGGGGAGGTAGAGAGCTAGGAAGTCCGGGGAGACTAAAGGCGCGCCAGGAAATGGGGTTGAGTGACTTAGGCTGAGGCCTTCCCGGCTCCGCTTCCTGAAAGAAGTGTCTGAAGCTTACTCCCTCACAGCTTCGGCTGGGGCCAGGGCAGCAGCGGGCGGTATGGAGGGCCATGCAGCAGCCACAGGCAGCGAAGGCTGTCATGCCCTCGCCACACACCCTTGACTTGAAGCAAGGCGAGGAGCAAGTCTTCATCACTGTCCCTCCTCTGCTGTCACCTACATGGTGTCCTACACAGAGAAGGCATTTTTCAGCTGATTGTCCAGGGGATGGGTTATTTTGAATCGGTCCTTGGGGAGGGGCAGGGAAAATGGGCTTTTCTTATGCTTGGGCTCTGAAAATGCTGGCACTGAGTTGCGGGGAGGTGGAGCCACTTCTGAAACTTGCCAGGCAATTTGGGAGCAAGGATGAGGGTGGAGAGGGCTGAGGTAGCCCAGGGTCACCTTGGGGTGGCAGAGGAGGGCAATCAGATTGGAAGTCTTGGGAACAGCAGGGTCTGAGATCTCTGAGGTGATGAGCTGGAAGGGACAGAGTGGTGATTCCTCCCTCCTGAGACCCCTCCTGCACCCCCCTCATCCCTGTGTGGTCACCCGCCCCCGCCGCTTTGTTTAGTTTCCCTTGTCTTTCCACACCCCTCACACCTGAGGAGCTGGGAGTTCCGAGAGGAGGTGAGAGAACTCTAAGCCGTGAGAAAGTTTGGGAGCCTAGAGACGGTGGATGAAACCTCATACCTATGCCGGGTCACCGGCCTCTATCTCCCCACTTGCTGGGAAGGGAGCCAGAGATGTCTCCACCAAGCTGGAAAGATGGGCTGCTTCTTCCCGGCCAGCCAGGCCTCCTATGGTCCCTCAGACGCAAGCACTCTGCTGTTCCAGGACTGAGGGCACCAGAGTGAAGCCCTCCCCACAACCGAGAGCTGACTGCAGCCCTTGAGTGAATGCCTGGCATGTCAACAGTGACTTCAGCTTCCTTTACAGCAATGTCACCTTATGCCTCTTGTTTCATTTTCACATACCACAGGAGCTCCTCAGCTGAACTTAGCCTTTCTGTGCCTCAGTCTCCTCAGCTATAAGATGGGGTTGTGGTGGGGACTGAATAAGTCAGGACGGGGGATGTGCCACCAGTGCTTGGCACATAGGAAGCCCTCCCTACGTGTTTGCTAGTATCGTCTAGCTATGTCCCTTTAAATGGGTCACTGTCCCTTTCTGAGTCCCACTTTCTTCATCTCAAAATGAAGGGATTTGGAGGGCTGGATGACCTCCCAGGCGCCTGCCGGCTCTGCCCTTCTACGATCCTATGTCTGAGGTAGAGAGAGCAGAGATTGTTGCCCTATGAAAATAGACGGGGGGACTGGGACCCCCAAAAGATGAACTGACCTGCCCAGGGGCACACAGCCAGGTACAGGCCCTGCTGGGGTTAGGAGCCAGAGTGCCGAGCCTCTAGCTTCAGGCCACTGGGCTGGCTTGGCTGCAGCCTGCCCATTCTTTAACGCCCAGGGAGGATCAGAAAGCACTTCTTCTGCATGATGGGGGACATACGTGATGGAGGTCTGCGCAGCCTCTGCGGCCAAGGGAAGCTTGTGAAGACCCGTATAACCCAGCGCTGGCCTTCCTCACGGGCCAAGGTTCCCGTTTCCTGCCATATGCTGCTTTCTTCTCGCAGAGCACTGATTCCCTCTGGAGCGTGGGCCTGAAGCATCCTCACTGTTTACTGGGAGCCCCACAAAGCCCCATTCACCGGCAGATGCTTCACGCCCACCCACCCCTTCAAGGTGACCTGGGCAGGTGAGGAGGCTAAGGCCCAGAAAGGGCCAAGGAGAGACTTTGCCAAGCTGCCCAGCAAGCCCTGGGCACAAGCAGATTCAGTACGGGCACTCCGGTTTCTGGGCCTGTGCCCTGGTGTAGAAAGGACCCCGAGGGCCTGGTAGGGTTCCTGGAGCAAGTGCCCGGCTTTGCAATCCCAGCCCAGGTGCTGCCCAAGCTAACGCTGCCACAGGAGAGAATGCTGAGGGCCCAATCTGTCCCTGGGGAGGCCCTATGGGTTGTCTAGGATACTGGAAGTTTCCAGTGGCCAAGGCACACTCGGTGGGGAAGCAGACCCCTAGGGGGAGCATGGCAGCCGACTCAAGCTGAGGACACAGCCAGGTTTGAGGCTCGACTCGCCAATTAGTGGCTCCGTGAATTTGAGCAAGTGACTTGACCTCCCTGAGCCTGTTTCCCCATCTATAAACTGGGGATAATGACCGCTGCCCGGTCCACTTCTCAGGGGTAGAGTGAGGCTTAGTGGAGATGTTAGCTCCCACTAACAAGCTTGTGCCAGGGGCCGCACACTGTACCCAACACTTTACCTGCATCATCTCATTCAATCTTGACCACAGCGCTCATAAGTAGGCAGAGGATCCCACCCGATGCGGAAACGGGGCTCCTTGAGACCGAGACGCTGGCTGTCAGCTCTCATAGATAAGTAAAGAGTGGTGCCGTGATTTGAACCCTGATCCGACCTCCAGACTTCCCTTTCCACTGAAAGCACTTTGTTAGCGTGATTATCAGATAGCATCGCACAGAGACCAGTTCACAACCAGTTTATTAAATTCCCTTATTTCTAGACCTTGCTGCAGAAGGTAAGTCTTCCCCTCAGGCCCCAGACAAGGGTTCAAGGGCTGAGTTGAAGGCCTTGCTGATACTCCATGTGACACAGGGTTCAGCAAAATGTGGCCTGCCACTTGTTTTTATAAATAAAGTTTTATTGGAACACAGCCACACTCATTCATTTACATTTTGTCTATGGCTGCTTCTGCACGACAATGGTTGGCTGGAGCAGTTGGTACAGATACCTGCAAAGTCGAAAATACTATCTGGCCCTTTACAGAAAAAGTTGACTGACCCCTGGGTTGAAACATTCGAGGAAATGGCTTGGATGTGACTTTGGCCTTTGGCTGAAGTCCAAGGCAGCAGCCAGGAGAGTGCCTCTCTGAGAACTGGCCAGTATGTAGGGAAAACTGGTTTTTCAAGGGAGACCTTCCACTTTGGAGGTTCCAGAGAAATGTTGGCTGAGTCAGCAGCTCCTTATAGGGCCGGGAGCAGAAGGTAGTAAGTCTTTTCTGCCATTCCCTTGGCACTTAGCTGGCACAGGCTCCCTCTAGTCAGAAACTTGGGATTGAGAAATTTCAGTTGACTAACCTTTAGGCCTGAAAATTACAATTCTATAAACACCTCAGAACGGCCACTCAGGCCAGGTCCTGGAGTTCCCTCGGTGGCAGCAGAGGAGCCCAGCCTGGATCGGGGGTCCCAAGTCAGCCAGGGCTGTGGGGGAGCCTAAAATATTAGCCCTCAAAGCAGCCATGGCTCATTTTACACCACACCTGCGGGCTGAAAAGCCGTGTGTGGTCTGAGTCTGTTCGCCTCCCTAATCTCTGTCATTTCAGAGGCCGCCTAATTTCCAGACGGATTTGAATGGATTGGAAACACTGTGGTTTTTCAGGTTCTCTGAAAACCGCTTCAACCTCTTCCTCCAAGACTTACGGTCAAGAAACAATCAGTTGTCAAGTGAACTCCTTTTTCTTTTTTGCCTCTGCGTCTTCAAAAACAGCCCCCTACTCTGATTCTATTGTATTTATCTGGTCAAGTCAAGAAATGGCCAAGGGGTGGCAACCCATATGTCCTGCCCTCTTTCGACTTGTCTAATTATCTTCACAGAAGGCCACCAGCTCCCCTTTTCCTCACCCCCTGCCCTAAGGAGGTCAGACTTGCAGCCACCCACTAGCATCAAGTTGACTACATATGCCCAGAGGACCCTGGTGACTGCTCCCCTTTCCTTGTCCCTGCCTCCACCTCCCGCTGTCCTCCCACCAACTTAATCAAATGTGATTGGGCCTTCTGGGGCCAGTGTTAGTTGGGCAGCCTCCATTAGCCTTTCTCTGATCCCACCAGGCCACACCATGCCATCTATTTTTATCGCACTTACTGAGAATACAAAGCACATTTTGTACTTAGGTCTCCTCTAATTAGGGGTCCGTCTAGAGTTTGCATTCTAGAGTTCTAAGTCCAGATTCTAGATTCACTTATTGGCCGTGAGCTTTTGGGCAAGTCACTTCACCTCTCTGAGCCTGTTTTCTCACTTGTAAAATGGGAATCGTGGTCTGTGTTGCCCAGTTGTTAGGATGATAAAATGAGTCGGCATTTTTTTTTTTTAAAGAGTTTTGTCAACTGTTAAAGGGCTACAGACTCTGGGTCAGTATTCAGTTGTTCTGCCACTACCCGCTTCTCCTTGGTTTCATGTGAAATTCGAGCTTTGGGGGTGATTAGGGAGCCAACAGAGTAATCAGCATGAAGCCAGCCCGCCCCAAACCTCCTTCCTAAACCAGCTCCTCTGACGACGAGTTTGCCTAAAAGTCAAAGTAGTAATTTTGAAAGAAGGCATTTTGTACCAATTTTCCTAAGAGAAACTTCTAAGATAATGTCATATTTTTAAATCACTATGTCACAATCTGCAGTATTTGTCAGTGTTGTGATTGTTTTGCACGCTTGTGGGTGGCTTCTTCTATTTTATCTCCTATTGAGCAGTTCTATGACTTCTTAGCAAGTTTGTCTGAAGACCCTTTCTTAAAATTGTATATTTCTAGCACTAAATACTTGTCAAATCTGTGGCATTTCCCACAAGATTTAGCGAATGCACCTTTTAGATCACTCCTGTTTCCTCCTCGCGGACTTATTTTCTGCGATGTGTACGCCTGCGTGCACCTGATGAGTCGATTAAACAAATTAGCATGTTACCAATGTTCCTTTCTGTTCGGCAAGATATTGGCATTTTGACAACAAGTGTGAAGAAGTGAGACACATGGGGCAGAACGGCGTCGAACTCCTTACGTTTTATTTTGCAGGCTATCTCATTCATCAAGCAACTCTACTTCGTGACGCATAAAACGATACATACAAAGTCATTACCAAATGTATTTATTGCAGGAAACATAACATTTTTCAAGAAAGGCAAACTGGCTAAAAAGTCCCGAAAGTGTTCAAAAGTAGATAAAAATAGAAGACACCCACCAAGGATACAAAACAATTTTTAGTAGAAGTTGTATCTTTAGTCAAAATGTTCTTAAATAAATGGGTTTTTAAAAATTCTTCAAATGACACTGCAAAAAAAAAAAAATAGGACACCCAGGCAGATGCCAAAACACTTAAAAGTGGACTGAATTTTACGTGAACCAGTCATTAAGCGTACAGATTCCTTTTGTGAGTTTGTGGGAAACTGGTTTGAGGCCATTTGACCCAGAACCAATTTGGGATGCAGGCACTTACCTCCCTGCACGTGCAATATGTGGGCATGGGGACAACCAGGGACCTCAGGGGACAGGAACGCCCCTCCTGAAAGTGACCTCCATGAGTAAGGGCAAATTGTCAGCTTTTAATTCTTTATTATAAAGACATATTTACATGGAACAATCTTTACAAACACAGTGAACACAATTATGGGAAGGGGACAATTTCTTAATGAAAAGGGCCTTAATATCTTTATATAAATTAGTATAAGAATCATACACAACCACTTTAAATAAGACAGCCCCCCAGCCTCCCACTGTCCTCTGCCCTGTGTCTCCTGACTTTCCCAGCTGTCCCTCGTTTCCCCCCTTCCCCATGGGGCTGGGCAGCTGATGCGGCAGGAGATGCAGAGAGGAGGAGGGGGAAAGGCCCGGTCCCTGGTAGGGGCGTCAGTGGCGAAAGAGGCTTTCTGGACACTGGCCAGCCCCCACTCCGAGCCTGAGGGGTGTGGGGGAGGCAGGAGCCCAGCCTGGCTCCCCAGGGCGGGCCTGGAAGCAGCAGCAGCAGCAGCAGCAGTAGTAGTAGCATTAGCAGCAGCGGAGGTAACGGGGAGAGGCGGATAGGCAAACCTCGGGGTTATTGTGGGACTCGGGGGGCCCTGACTCCCCCTGCCCCCATATATACATAGGTGGCCATCAGGCTCTTGTCTTCCCTTTTCTCCCTCCCGGGAGGCCTCTGGAAAAAAAAGCCTGCTCAGACCTACACTTCCTCCTGTCTTCCCTTCCTCCTTTCCTCCCCTCCCTCCCTTCCTCCCTTCCTTCTTCTTCTCCCCCCACCTCCCCTACGATGGACAGGTCACTGGGAAGGAAGGTCCAGTCAACAAGAAGGGAAGGCTATTGAGTCCAGTTGGTCAAGGCCCCGTCCTGGCTCCTGAAAACCAGCACTGGGGTTGCAATGGTAGTCTCAGTGCCCGAGCTGCCCCCATGAAAATACCCAGGGTCTGCGAGTGCTGCAGGAGAGGGGCAGCTGGCCACTTACAGAACTTTTCAGCTCAGATTGGGGAATGGACCAGCGGAGGCAGGCCAGGGAGGCGGGAGCAGCTCCGTCCCCACACCACCACGGGGCAGTTCACGGCCGGCTAGCCTCTCCCTTCCCAGCTACCCTCAGCCCCGTCCCCGGGAAAAGGCACTTAATGGGTTTTGAAAAACATGATCAAGAGGGAAGAGGACATCATCAAGTGGGAGTTGGGAGACCCGGGTCCTCATTCTGGCTCAGCAGTGACCCTGAGCAGGTCACTACCCCCTCCAGGCCTCCGTCCTTATAGGAGTTTGCAGAAGGAGGCAGAGCTAAGAGATCTCCAAGGTTCCTTTTGGCTGTGATTCTTGACCAAAATGATCCTCCTGCTTGGTTTTTGGTCCTGGGAGAGTATAGAGCCATCTCAGGCCCAGCACCCTCTCCTCCTGAGGTGGAGTTTGAACTAGCTGGGGTGGGAGTTGGCAGGTGGGGAGGGTATGAGAACACAGGGAAAGGTGAGAGAAGTGACAGAGTACTTCACGGCCCCGCTCCTTCACCTCTTCCCTAACCCAGACAAGCATCAGGGTGAAGAAGAGGCCACAGCAGCTCTTCCTCCTCTTCCCCAATGCTTCACCCTTTGCCAGAGCACCAACCCGCTTTCCAGTGTCCCCCAAGGCACCCTGTGTGCATCCCAATGCCCCAGCCCCTCTGACTGGAGTCTCTCATTGCTCATCTCTCTATTCCCCTCTGGAGGCTGGATGAAGGGTCCAAGTGACACAAAAACATGGGATCTCCTGGAGCCCATTGAAGAAGGGAGCTTCCACTAGGCCCCCAGGGCATACCTGAGGAAGGAAGCGCCTAGTAAAGGGTTAGGTGTTAGATGCAAGAAGTGGGGACCAGAGAGGGGGGCGTGCCAGGGACAAGAAGGACGGCCTTCCAGTGCAAGGCCTCCAAGGCCAGTCTGGGGAGGGGCTGGGCAGAGGGGCTGAATGGATCCTTGTGAGAGAAAGGGAACCACCCGCACCAGGGGCAGGACCACGCAATTCAGGGAAGCTGGTGGGTGAGAAGAAGCGGGACCATCAGCAGCTGGGATGGGTGCAAGATGAACGGCGAACGGGCGTGAGGGCACCAGAGAAGCAGGCCAATCTATAGAGTAGAGAGAATCGCAGGGGGTGGGCGCTTCAGGGCCTCTCCAGTCCTAAAGAGAGAAAAATGACCAGAGAGAAGTCAGTGACATGTCCTAGGTCAAGGAACCACCAGGGACAGGAGAGGAGACAGCCTTCATAACCCCCCCCCCATGACCCTGCACCTAAAGCCCAAGGCCCCTGAGTAGATGCCACCCTGTCCCGGCTCCAGGGGGAGGGACACCAGGCTGGCCCTGAGGGGCAGGCTTAGGCCCTGCTCCCTCTGCTGCCACCTTTGATTTTTCTCTCCTTCCCACAGCTCTGGGCAACTCTCCTCCTGCTCTCCGCCTGCTACCCGCTAAGGCTCCCCGCCTCCCTCTCTGCCCCCCTGAGGATCCATACTGCACAACTGTAGGAATACCCTGGGGGCACCCCTCTCCAGCTCATCAAGGCTCTTCAGGACTTCTAGAACTCTCCAAGTGGGCTAGCCACCCAGGCAACAGGGTGGAGAGGAACCAGCACTCAACTCCTGGGGAGTCAGGAGATTGGCCTTAATTGTCAGTCTCCTCTCTGGGCCTCCATCTCCTCGTCCATAAAATGAAGGCGCTAGATAGGTGCTCTGTCAGCCCGGATGTTGTGTGCTGCCGGGACTGGTTGGTGCAGGTGTCTGGCCAGCGATAAGCAGCAGGGTCACCCAGCTGCCAGGCTGCCACCCACCCCCCAATCCCCTCAGTGCCACGCACTGACCAGAGGCTCAAGTACCTGCTTCAGAAAGGCATGGGGCCCTTATGGGAGAGGCGCGGCCGCTGGCGGCGGAATTTCCTCCGCCCTCCCTGCCAGGGCCCTGGTCCGTTTCTCGACCCTCTGGGCTGCACCAGGTAGCGGACATCGCCTTCCTCCAGCCCCTGCCCGTCAGGAGGCTGCAGCAGGGGCCCTGCAGGAAGGAGAAAGCCTGTCATCAGGAAGGCTGATGGAAAGGGGCAGGGGTCCACGGACCACAGGCCCACGGTAGGGGGCAAAGTCTCGATGCGGTGGCGCTCCTCATAGCTTCTGCTTCTGCTTGTTTTTATCTTCCATCCCGATGAACAATTTAGAATTTTTACACTATCCCGGGGCAAACGGAGCCCACTACTCACATCTTGCAAACTATGTACTGACTTTACATCCTTTGGACAGTTCTATCATGTTTCTGACAGGCACAAACATGTTCTTTGTTTATAAGATCACTGGGGGTGCAGTTTGGGCATTACACCTGTACTCGGCCGGGGCAGAGCCGGCAATAAGCCCCCCCCCCCCCCCCCCGCTGCACCCTTGCAACTAATACACTTAAACATTTCAAACACACAACATTTCAATGAAATGACCGCCCCCCATGCACCCATCGCCCAGATTCAACAGTTATGCACGTGGAGTCACATATGCTTAGTGATCTCTTTTCTTTCTTTGCTGAGGTATTTTACAGCAAATCCAGAACATCATGTCATTGTACTCCTCCATCCTTCAATATGCAGGTGACCCACTTTTCGGTACCAGAGATCTCATACGTCACCCCTGGGCATCTCACCAGTCTTTAGGCATCTCTGGGACTCACTTGCTCCTGTGGCCGCCCTGGGGGTGTGGCTGGGGGTTTGGCAGGGAAGTGGGGTGTCTCTGACTCTGCCTGCCTGTGCTGAGTTCTCTTCACCCTCTGCCCAGATTTAGAGGCCAATAAATGAATGAATGAGTGAACAACTGAGTGAATGGTCACCTGAAGCAGCAAGTCCGTGCATGAGGAGGGGGCGGGCTGCTACAGTTGGCACGTCCCCACTGGATGCCCTACCTCCTGTCATCTCCAGATCACACCCCATCCTGTGTCTGATGCAAATTCCTTCCATTCCAATCCCAGCCGGCTTCTCTTCTGCTCTGGGGGGGCGGGGGGCTCCTTTCTAAATCTGTCCACATCTGGCTTAGAGTAGAAACCACTCGATGCCAGACCAAGCGCTGACAATGGAATCCAAGTGGTGCTGGTGTTCTTGGGTGTGAAGACGGAGCAGGCACCTGGGCCAGCTCTCATGGAGGCTGCAGTCCAGCCAGGGAAGGCGAGCTGCACTCCAGAGCAAGCCTGGCTGCCGGAGGCAGGCAGAGCAGGGAGGTGAAATGGTGCTGGGCACGAGGCGGGCTGGCAGAGTGCTTGTGCGACGCCCAGTATGGAGCCGGACTGCAGAAATAACCCCCCCTTCTGAGGCCGGTGATCACAAACCCCAGTCTCTCTCCCCTGCACCATCAGATTTGCCTTCAGCTATATCCCTGTCCGTCAAGTCCCATTTCCATCCATCCAGGAATCCCCATCACTAGCTCACAGTTTCCATAGAACCACCCGTTGGCTGCTAGCCCCCCAAACATACTCCTGGCGGCTCCTCCTTCCCCCTCCCTGCCTCCAGCATCCCCATACTCGGGTTCATTCCTTGGCCCCTTGGCTCTTGTGATTCCTCCTCCATTTGCACACAATTTCCAGGCATTTATCTCCCTCATGGGCCAAAAACAGACGAGGTTTGTCCTTAGGACCCTCCCTACCCAGGCTCCCGGGGCCTGCCGCTGTCCACGCACGCTCTCACCCAGACACACGCCCCCACAGCACACACACACACTCTGTAACCCTCCGTCCTCCCTCTCCAAGAAAAGTCATAGACCCCTTAGGACCTGCTGTTCACTGGCCAGACTTCTGTGCTTCTGGTCGGGATGGGTTAATTTGTGACCTCCTCCTCCAATGAAAATTACCTAATCTGAATTAAAATAAAATTATATTTGCCCTTTGGGGCAATAGGTATGGATGGAAGTAGGAGGTCACTTCCGTCTGTCATAGAGCTACCCTCTTGATGCCATCTGCAAAGGGGCTGAGCTGGGGTGGGAGAGGAAGGAAAGGCCCTTACTAAGCCCCCCACCCCAGCTGCTTCAGCTTCTGCCCTGTGTTCTGGGGTCCCCTCAAGGCTGTTCGTGCCCACTGAGGGGGCTAGGAATGATGCTGATGAGGAGTCAACACCAGAGAAACAGTCGGAGTGGGAAAGGCTGTGCTAAGGGCGTGGCCAGGCACAGGGGAGCTCCCTAGGGGCCTTGGGAATTTAAGAGAGGCCTTGGTTCTCGGGGCTATGCCCTTGACTACTGGAGGAGGGACAACGGCACAGGCTAAGGCCCAGGGGTACAGTAGGCAGGGAGACAAGAGGCACAGTGCCTGGACAGGGAGGGCATCATCTCCAAATGCTCAGCACCCAGGACTGAGTGTTGGTGGCAGTCAGGGAGGGAGGGCTGGGGGTGGAGGGCCCTAAGTGGGGGAGGCCAAGAGCCAGGATGGGGAGCAGGAATGGTGGCTCAAACTCTGGCCAGGGAGCTGTCTAGACTCTTAAGTTTGCAGAGAACTACCCTGAGATGACTGAGCACTCAGCCAGGCTCTGGAGAGCAGCCAGAAGCCCCCGGCATCTTGCATCCCATTGAGGAGGGGGCTCACTGTCTTCCTGGTAGCCGGAAGTCTGCAGCTTCTCCTGCATGCTGATCCCATCACCCACCGGCTTCCTATTCTTGATTCTGAGTCTGGTTCACCCCAAGATAAGCTGACACCTGAAACCCTGGCTTTATGCTGTCCGAAGGGACAGATCAGGGGCTGTTGGTTCTCGTCACTGCAGAGGTCCCGGCTGTACAAAAGAATTCCCCTGTAGAAATGGGGGCCATCCCCAGCGCACTGAAATATTTTTCTTCCAACTCATTTGCTACTTAAAGGGAGACTGGGACAATCCCCCGAAGAATCTCAAGCCTAGAGGAACTGGAGCCATTGTTCTCCAAAGTGCCACCAGCAATGAAGCTACAGCATCTCCACACTGAGAACCACAGTGAGGGAGAGAACAGAGTTTGATTTTCCTGCAATCTGAACTCCAACCCAGCCAAGGCACAAAGAGGTACATGCGACTTTTTAGGAACACACCAACCTCACCAGGAATGACACACTTGTTTTCCTCTCACCATCCAGCCTATCTTGTTATTGCTTTAAAAGCCCACACTAGTGCTCTGGTGAGAACCCTATACTGGCTACGTCCCCTCCATTGCTCCAGGGTCCTGCATGTGTCTCCAGGATGGGGTGTTCTTCCTTTGTCTATCCAGCCCCCCAGCCCAGTGCCCTGAGCTATCTTCCTGTGCCAGCTTTGTCGCCCTCGGACACGTCATGACCCGGCAGCCTGGTCCACCACTTCACACGCATGAGTCGTTTGCTGTCGAGAGACCTGACTCAGGTTATATGGGTGCTTAGTGCTTAGTGATTGGGGATGGAATGCAGATGCCCCCTCCCTAAGCAGGAGGGGTGCAGTAGGCTGTCCTCACACTGTCACTGTGACTGCAGGCTTCGAACTGGGGCTGGGGAGGAGGAGAAGAAGAAAGAGAGAGGTGCTCAGAGAAAGATCAAGGGACACTTGGACCTGGCCCAGCAGCTCCCAGGCTCAGAAGAGTAAAGCGTATGTCAGGTCAGGAGGCAGTGGAAGAGCATGTGTGTGTTGGGAGTGGGGGGGCGCATTCCAAGTCAGGACAGTGTGTTGAGGAAGAAGCGTGGTTTTCAGACCTGAGACTTTGACTGGGGACCCTGGCTGGGGAGGACATGCAAGTCTGGGCCAAGGGTGAGGTGGGCCTGGGGTCCCTGTTTCTCACCCAGGATGGGAGGCAGGAGGAGCAGGACATGCATACCTGGACCCTTGGCTGGTGGCCACCTGCATGGAGGTGCCCCACCTCGGCTCCAGGAGAGATCACGGGGTGGAGAAGTTTCCAATGCTAGGCTTAAGCAGAACGTGAGGGCAATGAATTTACTCAAATCAGGGCGTGAAGACAGATGACCTATTGAAGAAGCGTGAATTAAAGCAAGAAGTGGCAAGTCTGGGCCAGACACAGCGTTCCTTCCTCTTGAAACCAGCTCTCCCCTTGATCAGTCCTGCCCCAACAGCTGGGCCCTGAAAGGGTTTGAGTGGTGGTCTGTTGGCCAACAGTTCCCACAGCCTCTGGGGGAGCACCAAGTGTGTACATCAGGAAGCCCCAGCTTCCTCTGCGATGCCCTCTCTGCACCCATTCTTTCTTCCCTGAAGGCACCTCCTTGGACTACTTGCCATTGGTGGTATCACATTGGGTGTCTTGTCTTGCCAACTGCACTGCATGGTAGGCTCCTGGAGGGCAGGCCCATGTGGTGTCCGCATTCCTATCTTTTGCTCTCTCCCCGCCATTGCCTGACTGATGGGAGTTTCTGAGGAAAAAGCCTGTTCCCCTCTTACCAGGCAGGTGGCTGACCCAGCACTTAGGCCCTGAAGAGGGAGACCTCTGGACAGCTAGCTGAAGGCAGGTGGTGCCAGACTCAACCAATTCACCTTCCTGAGAAGCCAGGCAGTGCTCCCAGCGCCAGGGCAAGTGCCAAAAGGCAAGGGCAGAGAAAGGAGGCAGCCTACAAAGACAGGGAGGTGGGACCCCGCCAGGCCCTCAGACGCTCCTCGGTTGCAGGCCATACCCCCACCCTGCGCCTTTCCTCTAGGAAATTTCCTCCTCTGCCCTCTCCTTCCCTCTGACCCCACCTCCCTAGGACTGCAGCTCTGGCACTGGTATTAGTCCACCTGGTCTTGGCCTTCCCCTTCTGTGGTGCCAGGCAGGCAGCAGTGACAGCCAGATCACAGGGCTGTGGCAGCTGGAGGTGAGAGCTGGCAGCCCCAGGAGACACTGACACACAGAGGACAGGCAGCCTGGGCTGGGGCTACTGGGGTATGGGTGGGGACTAGGCTTCGGGAGGGCAAGGGACCACCAGTGCCAAGTATGCCAGGTGGGGGGTGTGGTGCAGGTGGGGGCAAGAAGACTCCCCCTCCCTGAGCTGCATGGAGGTGTCAGGTCGGGCGCTGTGTTCCGTGGGTTGGTGCCCGGAGACAGGGGGACTAAGGTGAAGCATGCCCATGCCTGGGGCAAAGGGAAGGCCGGAGCCTGGATATGGAAGATCCAAGTTCCTAGGGCGGCCAGGAGGCTGTGGGGAGGGCCTCGTGTGCAGGAGCAGAAGAGCAGACCAGACAGGACCTTGGGGTAAGGGAGGAGAACACCAGCCTGGCCCGGCCCTGCCCGGCTTGGCCTGGGGGAGGCTGCCTCTGCTCATAGGCAGGCTGAAAGGAGCAACAGCTGGGCTCCACGCGCCGCCTCCGCCGCGCGCTCTTGCCTATGCAACAAGTGTCACGTCTGCATCTTGGCACATCATCACATCATCCCCAGGGGCCCGCGCCCCCCGGACCGGCCGGCGGCCCCTAACCTCCAGGGGCCAGAAAACTTTCGATGCGAGAGGGAGCTCAGCCCACCGGGGTCAGGTCAGCTCCCTCCACTGATCCACGGGGAGCGGGACATGTCCCCCCACACGTACCCTCCTCCACATGGGGTGCGGGGCGCGGGACACGCCTGCGGCCCTGAGCTCCTCCTCGAACCGCGAGGGGTGGCCAGGAGGGACAAGCAGCCAGGCGGGTAATGCCCGAGCCGGACCCGAGCCCCGGGAGGAAGCGGTCCCCGCTGCCGGCCGGTCCCTGGCCTGGGGAGCCCTGTCAGCGGGCCACCCGGCGCGGCCGGCGCGTGGCTGCCCCTGCGCGGCTCGCGCCGGCCCGGGAGGCGGAGGCGGAGAGCGCGCGGGCGGAGGGGAGGGAGCGCGCCGGCTGCAGCCCGGGCTAGGGGAGCGCGGCGGGCGGGCGCGCACTCACCTCCGCACACCGCCGTCAGGGAGAGCCAGAGCAGCAGGAGCGCCTGCACGCAGAGCCGCAGATCCATGCTGCTCCTCCGGCCGCCGCGCCGCGGCTCTGGCCGGGGGCGGGGAGTGCCGAGAGGCCCGGCGCCCGGAGGCGGAGAAAGGCGCGAGCCGCCGCGGCGGGTGCGTGCGGGTGCGGGCGCGGGGCTCGCGGGGCTCCCGGGCGGCGCCGCAGACTGGCCGGCCGCTGCCGCCTCCCTCCTGCAGGCTCCCTCTCCCGCCGCGGGGCAGCGCCGCCAAGCTGGCCTCGGCGGCTCCGGGGGCGGCGACAAGCTCTTTCCAAGCGGCTGGCTGCTCGACCGCGGCTCCGGCTGCCCGTGGCCCAGGCTGCCAGCGAGAATGCTCCCCACTCACTCCAGGGGCTGCATTTTGTAGCTTGTGGCTTGGCCGCGAGCCCACTTGGTCATGTGGTCATCGAGAGGGCTGGAGGGGGGGCCAGGAAGAGGGAGAGGGAGCGGGCCTCCCGCACCGCCCCCCTCCCGGCACGCACGCTGCAGCCCCAGCCAGGGCGCGAGAGGGAACCTCGAGGTGGCCCCACAACAAAGGCTGCACTGCCGCTCCGACAACCCACAACCGCTCCCCGGACAATGCCTGCCTGGCTGGGGGCCAGAGAGTTTTTGAGACCTGAAGGATTTCAAACACAGGAAGCATTTGGGGCGGTGGAGGGGCACACTTAACCCTTTCTCACCTCGCTTCCTTAACAGCTGTCAGGGAACCTGGGCGCTCCGGGAAAGACCCGGCCCAGGCTGTCCCCACTCACCCCCTTCACCTCGGACCCGCTCCTTCCCCCTGCAGCTCTGCAGCAGCAGGGGCTGGCCGAGACCCCCACACACTGGCCCTCTTCTCTCCTCTGCATCTTCAGCTGGCTTTGTATTGGGGGTGACTGCCTAGGCTTGTGCCCAAGACCGCTTAATTGCCCAGCGCCCCCGGGAGGTACCCTCTACCCGGAATGCCCCACCCCACCCATCCTGCCCCTGCGTTCTCCGTTCTTGCAGCGGCATCTCAAATCCCAGGTCATCCGAAAGACTTCCCAGGATAGCAATAATCCAGGAGAAGCTGCCCCTGAGTTCCTCCTCGCTGTGGGACTTGCAACAGCCTCTATGGCGTCCCCTTTCTTCCCCATTATGGTGAGAGTGGGGTGGTTTACCCACCTCCAAACAGTCTAGGCTGGATTCATTTTGCACGTACTCGGGATTCCCCTTTGTAAGCGGGTCCTTCCCAGTGATGTGTTTGCCTTCCCAGGCTAGACTGTCGGCTCCTACAGCCTGGAGCTCCCAAGGGAAGAGACTGCCTCTTTCACGGGCCTGGGAACCCCCTAAGATACAACCTTGTCTTCTCGTTCTTCTGCGTCTCTCCAAAGTCCCCAGGATTGGACTCTGCACATAGGTGGCACTCAACACATGTTAAAAGACTAAATTGAAAGGTTTTTCCACATTTCAGCCAGCCAGGCAGTTTGCTTGAAGTGAAAGTCCAGATTTACACCAAAAATACGTTGGATAGTGTGTATGTGTGCCATAAAAGATGTGAGAGACCACGATATATTTAAAATATGTTGGAAATGTTAAAACAATCCAGTGCATACACTATTTATCAGTCTCCCTCGACCGTAATGGTCAGCTCCTCACGAGACGGCTCTCTCCTCTGTTCACAGCTGTATCCCCAGACAGTGTGGGACGTGGTTGGCATTCAATATATAATTTTGAACACACAAATGAACTTTTCAAAAACATGCCTATTGCCTAAATCAAAGTAGTGGGAAGGGAATAAAATAGGGTTCTTGTTACTAGCCTGTGGCTCCCTTAGCCGCTGTCCAGGAGGAAAAAGGCAGAGACGGGTGGCACAGAGCACCTCTCTTCATCGGCGAGGCCCAGGCTGGCAGCCGCGGGCATCAGCACTAGGAGGTCACTTCCCCGGGGCTGTCCCCCCGAAAGAGTCTTCCAACTGGGAGGAAAAACACGTGGCCTCGGATCTCCACCCTTATCTGCTGTAGCGCCTTGCTGTCGTCACTTAAATTTACTGGGTCTCATGGGGATGATCGTCTTCGCCCTCCCCCTCAGGGTTATTATGGGATTAAATGAGATAATGTACGTGAAGGTACTGTGCAAATGGGGATGAAACCCTTGTAGGGCCGTTTTTAGGAAGTGTGATACTCCAACCTCTGATTGAGCAAGCCCATGCACCCCCAAACGAGTGCCCCCGAGTAAGTAGGTTAATAGACCATTCGTATTTAATCACAGCTTTCCTAGGGTGTGTATGGGCATAGCTAAGTGCTTAGAGCTGAGCTTTCCAGTATGGTCGATACTAACATCTAAAATAAAATGACAAGTTCGCTTCCTCTGTTGCACTGGCCACATTTCAGTTGCTCAGTAGCCACATGTGGCTAGTGGCTACCGTATTGGGCAGCACAGAACAGAACCTTTCAATCATTGCACAAAGTTCTATGGGACAGCGCTGGGTTAGAGCACCTCATTCATTCTTCCTTTTGCTATAATCCTTTTTTTTTTTTAATTTCTTCTCCCCAAAGCCTCCTCATTACATAGTTGTATATTCTAGTTGTAGGTCCTTCTGGTTGTGGCATGTGAGATGCCGCCTCAGCATGGCCTGATGAGTGGTGCCATGTCCAGAGCCTGGGATCCAAACCAGCAAGACCCTGGGCCCCTGAAGTGGAGCACGCGAATTTAACCACCCGGCCACATGGCCGGCCCCTATAATCCCTTTTCCAACCTTACCTAGTCTTCAGAATGCACAAGGGAAAAAATACAAAAGCAAACCAGTAGCATCCAAGGCAAGCAACACTCAGTAAATAGAAGGCATGCATGTAAATCAAGATGTAAAGAGCTGAACAGGTGGGAGAATCATGTTTTAATCTAATCCTTTTCCATTTCACCAAATTGCATTCATTTTTCCAGTGCCAGATCCAAAATCTTATTCTTTCTCCTTTCTCAGGCCACTTTTACCCATGGCGACCTTGCCCTCTTCGTAACGGCTATGGCTGTAACTTTCAGTGGCAGTTTCTCTTGCAATGCTTCAGGAGCACTTTTGTATCTGCACACCATGCTCTGCAGGCCTGTGGAGAGGGTCCACCGCCGGTGTACCCCTTCTGGAACTGAGGCCCAGCAAGCAAGGAATGCAACCCTGATTGCTCACTCTGAAACCCCCGTGGGCTCCATATATCTCAATATCATATTCAAATGACCAGTTTTCATATGTATCTCCACCCACCAGATTTTCAGGTCGCTGGACTGACAACACCTAGCACAGTGCCCAACACATACTTGGCACTCGGTATCTCCTTGCTGAAGAAATAAATAACTGTTGGCATAACTCTGTGCTGTCTTTTGTTCAGGAAGATGATACTATTGAGACAATATCAGCAGACGAATGTTTTAAGGTGTTTCTTCAGGGATGGGGAGGAGGTACATGAAACCGTGCACATGGGTGGGGCCCATGGTCAGGGACAAGACTCAGTTTCTGTTCAAGGTCAGGGGCAATCCTGGGGCCGAGGTAGGACTCAATGTATTGTTGAGGACAGAGATGAGATAGCTGACCTATGTGAAGCCAGCCTGTGATTTGTCCCCCTCATCAGCGCTGTGCAGAGGCTATTCGGTTCGGCTTAGTATCGTATGTCATCACCACCAGTTGATGGTGCTCTCTTGACTCAGCCAGCTCTCTGTCCTGGAGGTTTGAGTGGGCAGTGTGGTGTATTAGAAAGAACCCAGCTTTTGGAATTTCAAATAACTGAATTCAAATCCTGCCCCTCAATCTCATTCGTTAACTGTGTGACCTTGGGACAGGTATTTAACCTCTCTGAGCCTCAGTTTCTTCAGCTGTTAAATGAGGACAGTAATAGTCTCTACCTTATTACGGTTGGGAGATTAAATGAGATAACGCAGATAAAGTACTTAGTACCGCCCCGGCCCACAGCAGTTGCTCTTCAATGGTAGTTTTCTCCTCTTCCTGACGTGCCCCTCCAGCCTTTGAGCTCTGGCCTCTGACCCTTTGAAACTGATCAAGAAGGACAGGCTCTGTCTCTGCCCTGCTGCACCCACACCTGTCTTCTTAGCAGCCATCAGAACTGCTCACTGCCTTACTCCCCAAAAGAGCCGATCTCTGCTGGAGCTGAGCTGACGAACGCACTTGATCCCGGGGGTTCATGCGTGATAGCAGTTTGAAGTTTTGCCTCGCAGGTATGGTCTTCATTTTGATGGGGGCCTTTGGGAGACAACGTCCTACCCCAAGGTAACAGCAAGCTCCACCCTTTTGAGCTCTACTTTAGTGACTTTCAATTGGCTGCTCTACATAGAGCTCACCTTGCTGCAAAGTCAACTCAAAAAAGGATCCCCTTTGGCGACTTACAACCCAGCTCTCACCCTGCAGGTCTAACCACTGAAGCCTCAGAGGGCAAGGCTGCTGCAGCTCACTGCTCTCTGCCTGTCCCCACAGATGAGGATGAGGATGATGATGATGATGGGGATGATGATATAGCTAAGATTTACTGAGCATGTGCCTGTGTCAAGCACTGTTGTGAATGCTTTACATGTGTTAATTCATTTAATCCTCACACCTGCAAAGTAGGCCAATTCATTATCATTCCCGTTTTACAGATGAGGCAACTGAGGCTAGCAGAGGTTAAGTAATTTTCCCAGGCCCGCCTAACCTTAAAGCCCACACTCCTCCCTCACTGAGCTTTGAGAAGCACCTTCCCACTTCTCTGGGCCCATATATCACTTTCTTTGCACTTCTGACACCTAACTCATACTGTCTGGAATCAAATTAGGAAGCAGTGAAGCACCACGGTTAAGCACGTGGGTTCTGGAATAAGGCAGCTCTGTCACTTACTAAATAGGTAACTTTGGGCAAATTATTTGGCCTTTCTGAGCCTTGGGTTCCTCATCTGAAGAAAGGGGCAGTACCTGTCTCCCTGGGTTATTGGAAGGCTTAAATAAATCAATACCTATAAAGTACGGGGTACAATGCTGGGTTCTAGTAAGGCAGGCATTGTATAAATGGCACATCTTCTCACGGGTATTCGTGTGTGTGTCCTACCAATACTACGAGATAGTGAGACTATGTCGTATTCACTTTTGTGTTCTCACCAGCAGTGCTGGCACCCAGAGCAAATACTCAATAAATGTCCACTGAATTTAGGAAAGAACTCTATAGCCATATGAATATCCACTCTGGATTTATGATACGCATCAAATGTCCTTATTTGCATACTTTCATTTGGGCAAAATCGTCACAACCTGTCCAACAGTTTCTTGGATGGGTCAATACCAAGAGTTAGAAGAAATAACAAAAGGATGGATGTGCGCTCCCCACCCTCAATTGTGCAGTGGTTGTTTT